GAATAATAAATAATTGATCGTTTAAATAATATTAATTTTTATAATTCTGTGACTTCAGAGAACACATAAACGTGTAAATAAAAGGACTCACTCAGGTAGAACTGTCTAGGTTAGAAATCTGTTTCTGACTTTTTAGTCGTTGTTAAAATGTGTTTTAGAGAGCCTTGGGATTTTCTAGTGATCATTAATGTAATTACTGCCTGGAGATAACTAATGAAAGACGAATCCTTTGATTTTTCTCTCGAAATTATTTTTATTTTCGTCTTGAAACTTCACTAGAGTGTGGAGATAATCACAGGCGACGAGAATATCGACCGATGAAAATTCGATGCGGCAGTTGGTAAAAAAAATTGATGATAATTAAAGGCGCCTTTTCATTTAAATCGCTATAAACCTTTTTATACCCGGGCAGATGATATTTAATATTTTTGATATTCTTTCAGTATCTTCAAGAAAACAGTCGAATGAATAATAAATTTTGACTCAAATTATAAATGTAAACGTCCATAATTTATTATCTGGAGATAATAAAAACTAATATATAGGATTTAGAAATTCCGAAAAACCCATATTTATTAAAAAAATTCCTTCGAACCCCGGAAAATCAACAATAAAGTCAAGAAATTTTTCCATTGTTGACAGAAATGTCCATTCCAGCCCGACGCATCCCTAATTTCCCAGGAGAGTATCCTGAGCCCTCAGGCGTGCCCTCCAAGGGCCAATGCCCCTCGCCATTCCCTTTATAATTCTACTCCTCAATCCCACCCCAATTTCACCCTCACCGAGCACTTTTTACCCCATCCTCAAACCCCCTTCCGCGACGAGTCCTCAAGACCAACGATAACTCTAATCCCGTAATGAGTGCGCTTATCCCACAGTATCCACATAATAATCATTAAAATACATAGATCATTAGTCCAGAATTTTCGATACACATAAAAATATAATATCCCGTAAAAATGAGGTGATGGTTTGAAATTCCACAGGTGGAATCTAAAAATACAAATAGTGCATCAGGATAGATCTAATATTGCTGTGTACGGTGGATAAGCTATAGCATTTTATCAACGCCGGTGATTCTCCCTCTTTCCCCACCCCGCCTTCCCGCGGATAATACATTGAGTGGGTGGTGGTGGGTGGTGGCGGCCGCCGGACGGCGCGACTCTCCAACCCCGTTCGATCGATGGAGCGTCGCCCGACGCGGTGACTAACCCGTCGACGAAGTCATACCCCGTCCTTTTAACATTCACCACATCCAAGTACCCATGGCCACAAACTTCCTTACCTTCATACCATTCCTACGCTGTCGCAAGCCGCATTGTAATAACTAGCATTAAATTTTGAACATATTAATCGTAACATTAATAGCAATGTTAATATTAATCATGTAATAATTTAATCTGTTGATTGATTTCAATGATGCAATGATGCAATGATGCAATGATGCAATGATGCAAATTCTATGATTTTTCCTCTATTCTAGGGATCATTTAATTTATTTAATTATTCATTAATTTAATTAATAAAAAACCCCCTCGACTTTCAATAATCAAAAATGGGTAATGAGTGTGTAGAAGTACTCGGAAGAATTTTTCAGGGGGAATAATTATGAAAATTAATAATAATTAATTATAAGTGGTGGCCAGAGACTTTTCTGAGT